AGTGAGGGTAGACGTCTGTACATTTATTAGCAAGCCCAGGGCCTGAAATGTCGACTAGATGAGGAAGATGCTGGACTTTACCTGAGCCCTAGACCAGCCTCTGACTAGCCAGTCATCCAGGTACGAGTAGACTTGCACCCCTCACCTCCTCAGGAAGGGTGCCATTATTCCCGAAGATTTTGTAAACACCTGTGGAGCTGCTGACAGGCTGAATGGGAGTACCGCGAATTGGTAGTGCATGTGGTTCATGACGAATGTTAAGAACCTTCTTTGGCCTTGGAAGATTAATATATGGAAGTAAGTGTCTCTTAAATCGAGGGCAGCATACCAATCCCCGGGATCCAGGGAGGGAATAATATAAGCCAGGGAGACTATGAAGCGCTTTAATTTCTTGAGATAGCTGTTAAACTGGCGCAGGTCTAGAATAGGTCTGAGACCGACCATAATTTTCGGGATTAGGAAATAATAGGAGTAGAACCTCTTCTCCATTAGATTTTGTGGACTCTCTTTCACAGCTCCCACCTGAAGAAGAGATTGAACCTCCTTGGCCAGAAGTTGCTCTTGAGAGGGGTCCCTGAAGAGGGAACAGGGAGGGAGGGTGGGAAGAAGGGGTAGAAATGAATTGGAGAATATATCCCACTTCCACCATGTTCAGTACCCAATGGTCTGTTATGATACGAGAGAGTAAACACAGATGAAGTGGGATAGGCAGTCTGCAAATAAAGGGAAAACGGGATCCAGAAACATGGAACCTGGTACAACATCCTCGAGCATCCCATCAAAAGGTCTTTTTGGAGTCTCCGGATGTTTGGATGGGACAGACATTGACTCTGAGGTAGAAGGGGGTGGTGGTCTATTCCTAAAGCCCCTGCTCCTTTTCCTCTGTGGGTCTTGATGGGCCGGTGGGGCGGAGTACCAGAAGGACTGCTGAGGTCTGTAGTGCTTCCTTGAAGTTGCTAGGATATACAATCCCAGGGACACAAGGATCACCATGGTGTCCTTCAGTCCATGAGCTTCACGTCGGTCTGCTCCGAAAAGAGCTAAGCTCTCTCGAAGGGAAGGTCCTGCAGGGTTTGCTGGACCCTTCTTCAGGAGGCTGGAGGATTGTAGCCATAAACTCCTATGCTAGGCTACCATGGAAGCCTGGACCTGACCGCTGAATCTGCTGCATCCAAGGCAGCTTGCGGGAAAGCCCTTGTTATCCATTTCCCCTCATCTACCAGCAAGAAGTACTCCAGCCTGGCCTCTTGCAGCAGCAAGTCTCTGAACTTCAACATGAAGTCCCACATGTTTAAGTCATATCTGTGCAGGCGCATCTGCTGGTTAGCAATCCTGAGCTGCAGACCCCCAGTAGAGTAGTCTTTTCTACTGAAAAAGTCCAACTTTTTGGAGTCCTTTGCTTTATGTGTTGCACCAGGCAGACACTGCCTTTCCCTTTCATTGGCAGCAGATACCACCAGAGATCCTAGAGACTGGGTGAGAAAGAGTGTACAGGAACTCATAACCCTGAGCAAG